CAGGGAGTCTTACCTAATATCATAACTTTGTTAACACTTTTGGATGCTCTCTTCCATGGAGGGATGCCAGAAGAGGCTCATGAAGTAGTTGAGGCCAAAGTTAAATATGGTATGGAGCTGAGCAAAATAACTTGCAGTATGCTAATTGATGATTATTGTTTTCGTGGCAAAATGGATAAGGCAAAGAAGGTCATTGATTTAATGGTGATAAAAGATAATGTCCCTGATATTGCTTCTTGCTACAAATCCTTGGTCAACGGCTATATGCAAGCTAAAAGGATAGGTGAAGCTTTGAGGCTCGTTGAGGAAATGATCGAACAAGGGGTGATGCTTGATGTGGAAACCCTAAAAGCTTTGAGAGGTTTGCGTCCTAAAAAGGCATGTTATATTGACACATCAGAGCGATATTAGTTGTCATTTCAGTGTTACAAATATCCTATTCAATGAAAATTGCAACACAACAAATTCAGCATCCAGCCAAATTATAATAAAACAAACAAGAACGATGAACCCATAAATAAAAAATCAACTAAATATAAATAATTAAAGAAAAACTTCTACGTCCTTCTTGTCTGCATATAGACTAACTGTAACATTCGATTCTTCTAATTTCGATTACAATATATGATTCTTCTAATTTCGATTACAAATTGGTGGCCACAGGGGAGGAATCACAATATTTTTAACACGGTTTGCTTTTTTAACACGAAAAGAAATGTAATTTTCATATTATAAACTTGACATATAATCTGTCATCATTTTAACATGGTTGCTTAAATTTTCTTTAATATTTAAGTAGTTGTTCTCTGCTTGTTAAATTTTATAGGAATAGGAGGGCCGTGTAGCGGAATAGAATGGATGTTACCAATCCAAATATCCAGACCCGCTTTCCATTGACGTTTGCTGTTCAAACTGCAGCTTCTCACTCACTTATTCAATTTATTGGTTTGTCTTCTAAGGGCCTGTTTGGGAGTGCTTCTGAAAGGGCCAAAAGCGCTTTCTAATAACTAAAAACGCTTCTGACAGCGTTTGGCAG